TTTAAGGTTACCGAAACTGTCAAAATACTCAACATCGTTTCCCTTCCTCTTTTTGTATGCTACCCAGTGGGTTCCTCTATTTCGACGAACATCCAAATTTACGATTCCGCATTCTTGCGATCTGATTCGACGGGGTAAACTATCTCGCATAAAAACACCCCTGAAGTGAGGAATTTTTAATTTGCGCGCCAGAGATATTAAATCGACGTCGTATAGAGCCCTTCTGGGTAGCTTTATTGGGAGTTTTTTTGTTTCTTCAGATAAAGACCGAATCCGCCGCGCGGACTCTTTTTCAAGAATAGACCCGATCCCTTTTTTCCAATCTCTTCCATAGCTCGGTTATGGCGGTTGTCCTCTTCGAGTTTCTTTCGTGCGTTTTTCGCATCGATGACAGTTTTAGCGATAGCAGCGGCTCCGCCCGAGAGCGAACCTAAAGCCCCTAGCGCTCCTAATAACGGTAAAAGTGGTAAAATACCGCCCGATTTTGATTCGAACGGTATAATTCTAGGTACCCTAATTTTTTTACGTCCTCCCGCTTTTCTTACAGCGGCTCTGCCAGCTCGAAGCGCTTCCAGTGCCGATCTTCTAAGCATTTTAGGGTTATCGATATGAAACAATTGTTTCTTCTTTAATGCATTGCGAACCTTTTTCACGACACCCTGTCGAAACGAAACAGAGGGACGCCGTTGTTGACCCATACCGAGCTTACGTTTAGTTTTCATAGTCGCGGTGACAAAGAATGCGGCAGCTTTTTCACCAAACTTTGCGTCTTTAGATTTTACTCGCTGCCACGCACGCGTTTCCAATTCTTTATCCGCTTTATGACGTTCGTCTAACGATTTGTTTTGCGAATAGGCAATGTCGTGTACCTTACACGCAGCGTCCAAAGGATTCACCCCGCTATCGCCTCGGTTCAAGCGTTTTTCCAATTTTGTACCGGGACCGCAAAACTGGTAACCCGGAATGTGTACTTCAAAAGGTAACTTGTTAATAAGCGTGTTAACGAGACCACTTCCGGACGCGAAGCATAACATACTAATTAAAGGAAATTGCTTGTGTCGTATATATATACGAGGTGTCTCGAATAAACATTGTAGTCATGCGGGTGGTGCAGCAGAAACTCAAGCTCCCCATCGATAATTTAGATTTGGTTTGCGGAGATGGTTTCTTTAACAAAAGCAAACACGGTCAACTGCTACCCAATTCATTTAGGGCGGTGTTTTGCGGACCTAGCGGTTGCGGCAAAACCAACACCATGTTAGCGCTACTCTTTAACCCCAACGGGGCAAGTTTCGAAAATGTTTACGTCTACTCAAAGTCGTTGTATCAACCAAAATATCAACTGTTATCTCGCGTATTGAGCAATGTCAAAGGAGTTGGATATTATCCCTACAGTGAAAGAGACTCGATAATCGACCCCAGCGACGCGAAAGAGAATTCTCTGTTTATTTTCGACGACGTGGCGTGCGACAAGCAAGATAAAATTCGCGAGTATTTTTCGATGTGCCGACACAAGGCCATCGACGCTATTTATCTCTGTCAGACATACTCCAAGGTACCCAAGCAATTGATACGTGACAATTGCAATATTGTCGCGTTGTTTAAACAGGATGACATGAATTTACGTCACGTTTATGATGAACATGTCTCACCCGACGTTTCATACGACACGTTTAAACAAATTTGTTCCGAGTGCTGGAAAGAAAAGTACGGCTGTTTGATAATTGTCAAAGATTTCGACGTAAAAAACGGACGCTACCGCAAGGGTTTCGATAAATATATAAAAGTCGATATTTAATTGTCGATAGAAACAGTCATGAAGGCGACGTCCGCCGACATCGCCGACGCGGCGCTAAAAAAAAAAGTAAACGAGTTGTCTAGATCTATTCGAAAGAAGTATTTAACATTAAAATTGGGTAAGAGCGAAGAGGATGCGTCAATTCGGAAGCTTTTCAAACCCGTCAGCGAGCCGCTAGAACGTATAGCAAAAATAAAGCTATCACCGTCACCGGCAGAAATAAAAACTGAACGTCGAGGTGTCAAGCGGGAACACAAAAAGGAACCGAACGAAGAAACAAAAAATAAGGTTAACGTATCATTTTTGCCTATGGAAGAAATTCAGGAAACGCCGGATCCCAATAAGAGCGTTGAGATGCAAAATATCGATGAGGAGGAAGATGATGTGTTTGACACATCGAGCGTGGCCAACGCATCCCTTCAATCATACCTGGAACAATATCCAGAAATTTCCCATTCATATATTCAAAATTTATGGGTAAAATCGCCCGACACCGATATTGTTTACGGACCCGTTTACGACAAAATATCATCCAAATGGTTTCTCGGCAATAAATCGCTGGATTTTCATCAAGGATCTGGCGATATTATTGTAGACGGCGAGAGATATTCCGGTACCCGCGGCTTGTATAATTTGGTGTTTTTGAAAGATCCCATAGCATACACAAAAGACGATTTGGCACAATATAAAAAAATAATGGAGGCTACCCAGGTGCACAGGGACGCGATCGGACGTTTGAAAGGCGCATCGACTGTACCAAAATATACCAAGGTCATCCGACCCTTAATAAAATCTCAGTCGCGTTCGTACTCGTACAGCGGTCAAGGTTATAATATGCGTTATAATGACGCTCCTACTGAATATGTATACTGGGACGACGTCAATGAACTCGTAGAGCGTCTGAAATTACTAATCGCGTCGAAACACGCAGGCAACACGTCTCATGATAACGAAATAGTTTCAATCGTTGAAGAGCTAAAAGAATCAGGTTTTATACGTTAGTTTAACGATGAGTCTGGACAAGTTTGGACGTTCTAGCGCGCTGCGCTCTAAACGACCCTTCACTAATACTGTGATTAGAAGCGCCCTCGACTATATGCCAGACGGAAACGTCAATATGAACAATTTAAAAATTTGCAATGTCCAAACGCCTAGCGATGACGGTGACGTGGCTAACAAAAAATATGTGGATGAGACAAGTAATTTATTAAAAATTGCATTGAGAAAGATTATTGGACAGAAACTCGAAGCGTACACGAAAAGATTACAAATTGAAGACAAAACTAAATTCTCGCGTCTTGAAGAACAACTGAAAATGAGTAGCACTACACTCGAAAATGAAATTATGCAGTTTCGCGAAGTTTTCCACCAAAAGCTAAGCGAAATGAGCGCAAAGAAAGATTTGGAAAAGCACATGACAAAAGTCGCCGTTTTGTCACAGCAATTTCATGATATTGTAACCAAAATGGAGCGACTTACGAACGAAAATGAGAATATAATGAAGGTATTGAAACAAAGGGTTTTAAATCCTCCATCGCAACCGAACACACATTATGAATAAAGAGAAGGTACAACTGGTTCGAGAACTGCACAAGCCGGCACGCAGAAATTATGCTCGCCGCCGGACTATAATACGAGGGATGGATGACCTGTGGCAAGCGGATCTGGCCCAATTAGATCGCTACAGCAAACAAAACAGAAATTTTAAATTCGTGCTGGTTGTGATAGACTGTTTCTCAAAATATGTATGGTGTCGCCCGTTGAAAACCAAAACCGGGGTCGAAGTCGCCAAGGCGTTTTCCAAAATTCTCAAGGACGGACGGCACCCTCAAAACTTGCAAACGGATCTCGGTAAAGAATTTTACAACGACACGTTTCTGAAACTTGTGGATAAGCATAAAATTAACCACTATAGTACGTATAGCATAAAAAAGGCCTCAATTGTCGAACGGGTGATACGTACCCTCAAAGAGAAATTGTTTCGACATTTTTCTTTACGCGGGACGTACAAATGGATCGATGTGCTCGCCTCTATCGTTGATGAATACAATAACACAAAACATAGAACGACGGGTACGAAACCCATCGATGTGAGTAAGAGCAACGAAAAGAGAATTTTGAAAACCGCGTATAGTAGCATAAAAATATTCGGTCCTCGTAAACTTAAAGTCGGCGACATCGTTAGAATCAGCAAAGTCAAGCACGTTTTCAACAAAGGTTATACACCGAATTGGACCACGGAATTGTTTAAAATTGTTAAAGTACGGGTTACTAACCCCGTAACGTATTTGCTTCAAGATATGCAGGGTAAACCCATAATGGGCGGATTTTATGAAGAAGAATTGCAGAAGACAGTTAACCCGGACTTATATCTCGTCGAAAAGGTGTTGCGCAGACGAGGCAATATGGTTCTCGTGCGCTGGTTGGGATTGGATAAGTCGCACGATTCGTGGGTAGACAACGTAGACGTTTTGAAATAAATTTAGTCTCGATTTAGAAGTTCTGACATAAATACGTGTATATGATGGCTCAAGAGAAAATTGTGACATCCAACGAATTGTATAATTTATTGGAAAATTTCGAGTTGCAATTTCCTTCATCAGAAGTGCTCCCGTCCAGCTTCGTTCCTGTAGAGCAACAAACCAAAAAATCTGCGACCAAACGAAAACAAAGTGCGTCGGTCGTATCCCGCAAGAAGAAGAAGAAAACTACCACAAGTGAAGCGTTTGCAGCTCCAACGTCATCCGCTGATTGGCTCGAAGTGTTCACGGACGGTAGAGAAAAAAGTGTCATTTGTGAGGCATTCAATTTAAAAAGAAACTTGGCGTCTCAGTTGTCGGGATTAGAGTGCAATATCAACGAAATTGAAACACAAATTGCGCTTTTTAATACAGACTTGCAAGTGGCGCGGATGCAAGCTCAAGAGTGCAAAAGAAAACTAGAACAATTTAATAATTTAGCATTTAACGAAATTGTAAAATAGTAATAATGTATATAATAAATAAATTATACAATTACAAACTTCTGTGTAATTATTATGCGGTGTTGTGGTGGTGGTAAAAAAGAAAATAGCGTCTAAATATATACATGTTTATTCTTGTTGCAATACAATGGCATACAATCAATACATAAAAGTCTTATCTACAGTTACATATGTTATAATAAAACCACAGTATTAATAGTTCAATGTGCTATCAGAAAAGCGTAACTTTTTTCCATATTTTCTCTCATCGTGAAGCATTAAATTACATTCATCTTCAGTTTCTACAGTGAACAAAACTTCTTCAAAGCAGCTTTGACACCAAAATTGTTTATCGTGATATACATCATTCAAATTATTTATATCCAGCTGTAAATGATAGTGATCCAATAAAAGTCTAAAATTTTTCTTTTTAAATTTTTTAACTACTTGAAATATAAAGTGACAAGATTTACAAACTAAAATTTCCGAATATTTTATCCTGTAATAACTGACCCATAAACAGTAAGCGGATTCTCCGTCAAAATCAATGGTTGGAGTTGCCAAAATGCTATTTCTGTAAGACGATCCAAATCTCTTATTCAACAGAATGAATTCTAAATTTAATAAAGAATTGCCATCAGACTGGAGCGCTAATTGTTTAAGGTACCTCCATCTATATTTCGAATAATATTTAAATATTAGTATCGTTAGTTTCCAAGGCAAAGGTGACTCAAGCAAAAAATCAGCACTACACCTAATATTTTCGCAAATTGTTATAATACAAAGGCTTTCTAATGTAAGTTGTTTGACCATAATCTGTAACAAAAATATATTAAAAAATAATTAGGGCACTTTATAATGTCCCCACGGAAGCGTTTCATATGAATTCGGCAAAAGATAACGTTTATCGTCTAAAGGACTCAAGGCAACTTTTGTTTGTTCGATGCTAAATACATTGTGAGTGTATGAACGAATGGTTCGTTGAGTGGCGTACTTTTCCCTAAAATTTGTTAAGCATTCTACGTAGTCATCAAATGAAATTTTATTTTTTACAATATTGTACTGAATACCCTTTGACTTTTTAACTACCGAACCCGTTAAAATTTTGAAAGTATACATTTTCGACCTTAACCCCGCATAATGACTAATGATGGTGCCATTAGTCTCATCCTTCATCAACCCCAAAACCTTTTTGTTGATTTGCGGTATATTATAGGGATTGTCATTAGGATAATCAGACGTGTCAAATTTTGTTAAATCGGCCTTAATAACGCTTTCATATGCGTCATAACATTTGATATTATAAATGAAACTGTCCGTATCCATGTATTGAATTTTACATTTTTCGGGACCCAAATTTGGAAGCATGTAATTATAATGAAACTCGTACATGGTCGTTTTCGACAAATCCAATATGGACATTCCAATATAAAGTGGCTTATTAAAGCAAAGTTCCGATTTTTTTAATTCTATAAGCAACAAATTGTTATCAAGTATGGTTCTACTGTGAAATCTAGGACTAGAAATTAAATTTTTCGCACCGTAGCGACCATCCCACGCTTTAACAAATTTAACAATACGATGCTTGCGAATGTTTTCCATTGTTTTACCGTAAGCGGCATTATTAAACAATTTGTATAAATTTATACCAAATTTTGTCTTTGCTTGGGTTCTTAATTTATTATTATGATCGATATAACATTTCAACCAACGAGATTGGTTAAATTTTAATATTTTGTGAATTTTCTTTAGTACGAGACCGTTTTTGAGAGCCTGTTTTAAATTGCGATAGTGTATGACGTATTTTTCTTTATTATACAAAGTAGTCATTAGTTTTGGTAACTTTGAATTGGGGGGCACTCGATGTTCGGCACAAAATGGAAAATCTCTATGTGTGTCATGTAATTTCTGCGGGTATTCCAGGTCTACCTCTAGGATATATCCTTGGGAAGATTCATCTGGAATGTTCATGACATTAAATGAATCAATCTCTTGATGAGACATCCAGTCGAATCCTCCGTAAGGAAGAGGCTCGCACATGGCCTTGCCATAGAGGTTATTGACGTCAAAGTACATGATATAGGAATCATCCCTGGATGAATCGTAGTTGGGCATATATTTATTGTTGGCCTCCGCATATCTACCAACACACACCGAAATTCCACCTCGTATAGCCCGCTCGATAAACATAATTTGGTCAATGTCGCGCAAAAGTTCTAAACGACATTTTGTGAATCTAAGCATGCAATCCCATGTATACCCGGGCATACTGAAATACCACGCCGGATCCAAAACGTGTGTTGCCATACAAGTTTTTCGAAAATTTTCGAATATATCTGCCAGAAGAATAACGTCGGTTTTTAAATACAAATCTGAATACTCGCCTAAATTTTTTATTTCAAACGACTGCCAAACACTTTGTGCGTGGGAATATTTTTCTTCACTAATATTGCTTTCACTTAATTTATTATAGAATTCTTCAATCGGGGGTAAAGTTGTTTCATTTAATTTGTCTATATGGTCGATGTAATCGTAACAAAAAATACCTTTTTGCGACAGTAAATTTAATTTTGATTCGTCGAGATCGGAAAATTCTTTTCTTAAAATATATAGTTCATTTTTATCCATACTGGAAACTAAATTATCCAGAGATGCTCCCAAAAATCTAAACGAATCTATAAATCTAAATTTTATGTTATAATCAGGTTCGAAATATGTAAAAGAGATGTATTTTTCCTTATTAACCGGAACTATGGATACATAGCTTTTTTTTGCTAAAACCGGAAGCAGGAAGTGGCTATCGTATCCAGAAAGGTTCTGGAATACTACGGGCACTACAAATATTTTTTTAAAATTTAAATTACAAGCCTGATGGGCAAAACCTCTAAATTTACCAGTAAAATGATCATGGTCACGAACAATAACATCTTCTTTTAAAAAAGGTTTTTCACAAATATGACAATGACTCGACCTTTGATCTAGACTAATTTCACTATCCATTGGTATAATATCCTTAAATTTTGAACGAACAAATTTTGATAAATTAGATATTTCCTCCACGAACCAATCAATACAATCTAGACCACGATAACTTTTGAAAAATGATATTGAATCATCATAAGAACATTTAAAGTAATATGCAGCACTGTAAGCTTCGTGCTTTTGGTATTTCGAGGTTTTATCTGAAATTTTCAAATTTACTTTTCTCAATTGACTCTCAAAATCGGCGTAAATTACAAACGGAGTCCTTTGTTTATATATATGGTTTCGAAATTCAACGTAATCATATTTGGGAAAAGACACTTTATACTCATTGAAACTGGAACATATTGTTTCATGGTCATGTAGACGAGTTTCGTTATTGAAATAATTCAAACACCTATCGCAAATGTATTTCTTGTGATTATATTTACTGAGCTGTGAGGAAACTAATCGAGACAAATTTTTAATGTAACAATAGTGATATTTTATTTCTTCATAATCATTATCTTGCGGATCAGGATCAAAATCATTAACTTTTGGATAATATTTATTTTGTATTAACAACAAATTTGAATGTTTTTCGCGTTTTTCTTTTGTTAATCGTGCAGGTAACACGGAATAAAAACTAGTTTTTTCATTTTTATTAAGCTCTAAGATATAAACATTGATGGAAATATCATTGTCTTTTTCAAATTTGCTTATTTTATTCATTTCCATAGGTGTTTGTAAATTTTCAGTTTTCAAAACACTTTTGTAGTATGGATATGAAGAGGGTAAATACTGACGAAAACGTGCTGGAAAGAGTCCGCATACAACTGACCAATAAAAACACGCTTGATCGTCATTTCTAATGTTAATACAAGCCCTTTTATTCGCAATTTCTTTAGGCAACTCAACGAAGGATGACCCGTTACCCATTTCAAATTTATTAATGTTAATCTCTAAATAAATAATATTATTTAAAGCCCACCCGGAATCACGTTCCTGAAACTCTGACATTTGATTTAAAATTTTATCTTGCACATTTTCAACAAACCAATCATTCAATTCTGTTCCTAAATCAACTACAGCATTTCCGGTACTCAGATATTTAACATCAACTTCGCCTTGGACATCATTTTTTGCCTTAATAAATTCACCGCAAAATGTGGTATTTACTTTCAGCAATAAAAATTTCTTTAAAATTTGACTAATTTTTTGTTGAAATATTGGACGAGAATCGTTTAAAAATTGAATTAAATCTTTATGAAGTAAATTAATTATGACACCGGTCTGAACTCTTCCCTGGAAACACGACGCTACCGATTCCCATACAACCATTTCATTTGTGTTTGTCTCGCGGCTACTACTTTGTAATCCCAATCCAAAATGCTTATGTTGATAATTAAGAATAATTTTTCTAATAGCTTTCAGATGTTGAATTGTAGTTTGTAATTTTCTTTTTAACCCAATAGAGAAATCCTTTTCGTTAGAAACGATTTGGTTGCAAGATTCAATATTTTTATTTAGTCTCCTAAGCCACACATCACTATCTCTAAGAGTGAACTTGTCGGAAATATGCTTTTTTAATTTTTGTAAGGTTAAAATTAAGATTTGCGCTCTATGAATGATCTGCTTTACGCGCATCGTGGTTTATTAAATATATAACAGTAAATAAGACTTACCCTGTATAATATGTTGATTAATTTTGAATTATTTTGAATTTCTTTAAAGAGTTGGGCTTTCCAATATCTTTGGATCCCTCGTAGACCAGTTTGTACTGCCCCGACGCAAAGTGTTCTAGTCTCGGACGGAAAGCTTCTGTCACGCGAGTAGGAAGAAATACTACGGAATTTTCTAATTGCAGCAACACGGAATTGCCAAATTTTGTATTAACAATTTTGGCTCTAGTAATTTTAAACGGAACGCCTATCGGCAATTCATGCAGTTTGACAATCGGCTGCTCAAAATCACCTTCTGCAAGACAGGTTTGATTCAGTTGACTTAAGTCCATCTATAAATTATTATTAATTATTTTATCTCAAAATTAAAAAAATAAAAAAAACTTACGCTTAAGATTGCTGCTATTCTATTTGCGGTTACGGGTTGAGAGTACTAAGATGATCTTTAGGAACTTTATAAAATAATAACAAATGTTAAAGAATTAAAATAAGACAATAAAAAAGGTACTTACTGCTTTTTTGTACGAACACCAAACCACTAAGTTAGCTTCCACGTTGCACGAATAATACCAAAAACAACTACTGACAAAACAGAGAAAAATGAGATGTATTTATACGGTGCGAGAATACTTTCTAAAAGTTAACAAACGAAGACACCTCCACATGCGTTGCAACAAATTTTTCCCATTACGTTAATCCCACGGAGCAAATATAAAGGGGGCAATTAATTATTATTCTCAACAAGCAAAACAACTTGACATTTAGACTCGGCGCGTTTTGAAATTCCACATCCCATACGGAGATTGTAAAAAATGAAAGCAAGTTGGCCTTGATCTTTTGCGGCAACATACGTTCGTCCAACGTCCGAAACGGTTGCGTTCCCGTGTGAAAGCGTGTTGACCCTGAGACTCCTACCTGCACGGTTGTCTGGCGACAACATCGCGTCTATTCAAATCGGCGTTGGTGCTTGTGGGTAGAAGACCTTTCGACTTTTAATTCAACCATGGAAGGGAGTGCATGTGTATAAATACGTTGCATGTGTATTATAGACTATATTCAGTGCAATGAATAGAGAAGTGCGATGTCCATTTCCCTACGACCCTACAACTGGTAAGTTTTATATTTTAATTACCTTTATACAGTGCGCGTCTTTTCTTGTGGGTTTCAGTTTGGGTTATCACTTTTTTGGTTAGTTTCTACCTGTTTTAAAATATGATACTCATCTTTTTTACGTTGCATAATAACCGATTTAAATTGAGTGTTTTTAATAGCTTTTAAATGACAGTGAATGGAAAAGGGAATTTTGGCTTTTAAAAAATAAACAATTTTTAAATTTGTTTCAAAAATGTTTTATTTTTTGTACTAAAAAATTGCAGTTTGCCTTTTTGACAATAATAATCGAATTAAATTGAGCGTTTTTAATATCTTTTAAATGACAGTGAATAGGGAATTTTGGCTTTTAAAAAATAAACAATTTTTAAAATTACTGAAAGTTTTGTTTCAAAAATGTGCGTTTTATGGGGAAAACGCGAAATATATACATATTTTTGTTTATTTTTTGTACTAAAAAATTGCAGTTTGCCCTTTTGACAATAATACACTTACATTTAAATGACAGTGAATTGAAACGTGAATTTTGGTATGCGCGTATAACTTAAAAAACAATTTTTAAAATTATTTGATAACCCCCCTTTTTGGAAGTTTTGTTTAAAAAAAAAAAATGTGTGTTTTATAGGAAACGCTACATATCATACTTTGTTTTGTTCTAGAAAAAATCGCGGTTTGTCCGTATGACAAGTCGCATATTATGTTGGCGCATCGCTTAGGGCGTCACATATTCAAATCACACAAAGAGTACCGGGGGTTAGAATTCCCGGTACGACATGAAACGACAAGGGAACATCACCAGCAGCAGGAGCAACCCGGTGGATCAAAAGAAACAAAGGAGCAGCAGGAGTACCCGGGTGGGTGGTCGACGGAGTGGGACGGCGAGGAGTGCACTTCGTATTTAGATTTCCTCCGGGAACGGGGAAGAAGAACAACGCAAGGAACAGGAACAATGGGATGGTCGACTGAATCGACATAAAAAGAAGAAGAAACTCCTCGCCAGACCAATTTTATAAATAAAATAAAATGTATTAAAATTCAAGTTTATTTAATTATCCTCCCGATCCACCGCGTCACCGCGCCGCACCGTCACCGCCCTCTACCGGGGGGGCCTACGACGGTCGGAGCGCGCGACATCTAGCAGCGACGGGCGGAACCGGGGCAAAACAGGACGCTACACAAGCTGGCGACATCTAGCAGCGACGGGCGGAACCGGGGCAAAACAGGACACTACACAAGCTGGGTGGGGGGCGGAGCGCACTCTGGTAGACAGGGGGGACACTAGGACGCCACGCGCGGGGGGCCCCCGCTGCGGGGGGGTTAGGAAATTGAGGTTATGTACGGTTTCTGTTGCTTATATCGGCACTATACATCTACTAAAGGAATTTGCAGAAGACGGTAACGCATTAAATGCTAAAAACGTATGCCTGAATCATAATGTTTTAAATGAAGAAAATAAGGCAAACATATTAGGATTCTATGACGCACATCCAGTTTCCTTTATTAGTAGAGTATATGAAGAGACAGGTATTTCTCGGAGATCAATCCACTCAGTTTTGAAATAATATAAATATAATGCATTTTAATTTCGTAAAACTCAAAAACTAAATGCAGAAAAACGTCAAAAGAGGATGCAGTTTTTTTTAATGTTCTTTCATCGCAAGAAAGGGTTGTAATAGACAAAATACGCGATATTGATCTTTAAATAATCCTAGACCAATAGACGAAATGAAAACCCAGGGTCCGATATTTTTAGATCAAAAGTTAACTGGCGATCATTACTTGCAAATTTTAGAGCACAAAAAGAATAATATATAGAAGATTTATCCCTAAATATATCAACGCTGATTATATAGCAGCAAGACGGTGCCCCACCTCACAATGTTGTCAAGTTAAAAATTTTCTTAAAATGGAATATCCCAAGGGTTGGATAGGGAACGGCGGAACTATGGATTGATCAGCCAACAGCCCCGACTTAACATTAATGATTTTTTTCTCTTGGGGACACATAAAAAATCACATGCACAGAACTATTTGCAATAATGTCGTGCAACTTCGGCAAAGGATTTCGAAGGCAGTCAGTTAAGGACAATCCGGAAACGTTACTAAATGCAAGACAACAAAAAACTTACATCCAATTAAAATGTTATTAAGATAAATTGAACACACGGTAAAGAAATTGGTTCTTCGAGATCTAGCGCAAAGCGCAATACATAGCTTTTATTGCCGCTTGACTGTCGGCATAGATCGCAATTGTCTTATTACACGAATCCTTTTCATTTCTAGTTATCTTGCGAAATATTCTATTATTTAGACGATACATATAAAATGTGGCTTTACCGACTAATACTTAGGATCCCTTGAACAACAAAAATTTCCAACGCAGAAGTTTCTCTAAAAGAAGACAAGGATTTATTCTGGTCAATACTGGCGTTTCGAACTTCCATTGTCTAAAAACGTTTATAACACGACGTTCTTATGGTAAGCACCAGACGATCGCTGACACCACACCACAACAAACCACAACACCTGTACGGCTTGTCAAAGGTCCATAAACCTAACACGCTGCCAATCAGTTCCAATTGCAAGTTCCAGAAATTCACCAAAAAGTGAGCTGGTTCGATTTCTGTTGCAGATAATCAATCATTTTGTTGAAATAATGAAGACAAGCATCTATTTTTAATTCCGTGGCATATAGATTTAACGTCATCTTCAAGTAACGCTAATGTTAAATATGAGGGGTATACTCTCAAAAATTTTTTGCAAGTCTCAAAAAATTATATTTTATATAGAAAAATTAAAATATTACAACAACTATTAGGATTAAATATGTATCATTAATTTAAAAAAGTGAAGAATTTTAAAAGAAATACGAAACAAAATTTCCATTTAAAAGATTTATATTTTATTTTTTGCGCCACCTTGTATACTTCAAAATAAATTTAAATTGTGCATCCTAACAATCTATAAAACTTTTGTTTCAAAAAGTGGCAACGAAAAAATGACCTTCAATTTTTTTCAGTCACGCAAGAAAAAAATTTTGTTCAAGAACATGACATGGTTATAACAAACACATGCTGTAAACTACACGAAAGGAGGCTATATACGTGGACCGCCCCAGGCCATAATGGTGGACACACAATAAGAAATCAAATCGCCGACATACATAAAAATAATCTTAAAAAACTCGTTCACTCAGTAAAGTGCAACGTTATGTCAATTACATATTTAAAAGGGCCATTTCGTTTAAAATATAAATTGAATAAAGTTAATATGATATCAGTTACTACAAAAGATGACCTTCGCGTTACATTTGATATGAAATTAACGTTCAATAAAAATATTATAAAAATAGTAAAAAATATTGGATTCTTAATTAGAAATGCAAAAAAAAAATCAAATCGGAAAGAAAATTCTTTATTACAATCCAGTGCAGCGAAACTCGATTATGCTAGCATAATTTGGATCCTTTCGTTTATACTAAATATATACAGATGAACGAGAAAATTCAAAAGAAATTCATTATCATTGTCAACTGTATTCTATAAAGAGAACCTGATACTGAAGTCAACAATGGCATAAAATGTTGCACACTGCACAAAAGAAGAACTCAGTCACTCTTTTTAACAATCTTAAAAAAATGACGCGTCGAGCCCTTTTCAGCCATATAGATTTGTTGGTGTCTGTGATTTGTTTATGTATTAGTAGGCCCTGCATATAGCTGGCAATGTCAGTTAAGGACATAACTTTTACTCTTTATTAAATTTGGTGTTCTGTCACACATAATTTTAGTGGCCAAACTAACCAAAATTACGAAAAGTATGAAGCGCTAAAGTGTCAAACGAAAACACAGAGGCAGACAAGCGAATATTCCGGACGTTAAAAAATAATTTACCCCATTACGGAAGTTTCAAAAGAGCAAGGCAAAATCAAAACCACTTATGAAAAACAGGAAATTGAATATAATAAACACAGTCACAATCACATTAATCCTGGAAAAGCAAGAAGGGACTGTTCAGGAATATTTAATACAATTCTTATGGCTGGAGCACAGTAAATCATCATGCTGTAGTGTACCAAAATCGGCAAGGTCACTTTGAATTTAATGTATGGCTAAATAGGAATTTTTCGAGGTAAATTTGTGAGACTTTATTTAAATGACTTTAATGTAAATCTGACAACGAATGGTTATATAAATATTTTGCAAACATGTGTTATTCCAGTTTTGGAAGACTTGCCATGAATTCCTGGACCTAACTCCTCTATTTTTTTTACGGGAGAAATTAAAGATAGAATTTTCTACTAACCAAAACTGATTTAGAGGAAGCTACTTGAGAAGCATGTGTCACATAGAGTTAGTGAATAGTTGCCATTCAGTAAGAAAAACGTGTACCTTAAAATATTTCAATATAATTAATGTAAAAGGTTAAATTTTAATAATTTGAATTCTAATATTTATTGTGTTTTGTATATTAGGTTAAAATAACTATAATTTTATTTTCTAAATAACCAAAAATATTTAAAATAAAATCTAAAATTAAAATGGAAATATAAAATGGTTATTAGGTTTCGTATTTTTCAATTAAATTATTTTGAATTGACCTTATCTTTTTCAATATTTATTGAATTATTTTAAAGGTTTTCGAGAGACGTCTTTTTGAATACATAATGCACGGCCTAGTAATATATAAACAGAAAATTCCCTATATTTTTCACAAATACCAACAAAACTATATGTCTGAAAATGGTTGGACTAGAGCATTCTTTTTAAATTATGGCTGCCACCTAAAATAAGAAACTTGTATTCATTTATGAGAAAACGGACGACTGTAGAAAAAATCTGCCCCCGCATTTGCCTTAAAAAATGCCCTAATAATGTTTTGGTAAGTTTCGGTTAATTTTGGTTGGTTTTTTCATTTTCCAAAGGATACAAAATTCAGAAACGCCCTATATCTCGGTTGGTAGTGAATATATCATACTGCGGTTTTTTCCCTAATCTCTAAAAAACTGTAAAATCAAACCCCAAAAACACCTCAACGTATAGGATTGAATGATGAAATTTTTTATTCTCGGTCGAAATCAGAAATGTCAATAAGTACACCCACGTTGTCTTGGAGATTATCAGCGCACCACATTTACTTTTCGGTTACTCCAATTTTGTTCAATAACATGTTGAAATGATTCATCCTATTCTGCATTAACATCGCGTTAACTGGTGGTAAACTATCTTGTATTTCACAGCTATTTTTTCAATTTTATATTTGTCATACTCATTTCTGTGTGGGTAGGAAGCATTCATTTCAACTATGATCGTCAAAGAAAAAGCAATGTTGAATTTCGGCTTGTTCCATGAGGTCACTGGATACCTAAATTTACAAGAATAATAGGAAGACTTATCAATAACAAGATTTTTTTCCATTGCTTGGTAAATTGGAAATTAGCGACTGCTCAAAACATTTCTCGAAATAATCGCAGTTTATTTCGTCATGACAACTCTCATCTAAATAGATCATATAACAATTTTGTTGGCGATATTTGTTGATCGACCTTAAAAATTGAACATAAAATAGAAGAAGAGTTTCATATTTAGGGGTGTTTTAATCCATTTTGACTGACTTGCTCATGCAGCTATTAATACTTCACTAAACCAATCCAATATACATTCAGCATTTATTACTTATTTATAGTCTTTCTAATCTTTGTATGACTATATTCATATGTATTTAAAATATTATCTGCATGACACATAGGTAACTTTTGAGCTAAACCGACTCTGGGACTGCTATACGATTATCAACAGCGCTGTGCCGCATTCTCTTATTTGAAATGCCTGCTACCCGCACTCTATTCTCAGTGTAACTTGGACTATAGCCTTCGACAATGCAACATTGAGTTCTCTATACTTAGATGTGCCAAATAAAACAGATTTTCAAGGCTGCAGGGACGTTATATTAAGATTTGCGACTTCAGTCGAAGTAA